GAAAGCGACGCGAGTTCCGAGTAAATGGGTTATAAAACAAAACATAGAATACACCGATCAGTAACGAATGTCGCTCATTGGACCAAGGATCAGCCTCTTTGTTTATAACAATGCCTATAATACAAGACCTGATCATTGCATACGTATCACGTGTTATCTGCTTTCGCTATCCGCTTCTTCGAAGAATGACAGTGATATCACTGTGAAAAAATCTAGTAAGGTTTACAGGAACTTTTCCTTGACGTAAGTTGTAAAATTACAATTTGTAATCGGAAGAATATATTCCCATGTATAAATGCAGTACGTATCGACTTAAAATGCGTTGGCGAGTAAAAAATAATGTGCTCTCGCAAATTTACCACTTAAATTATAATTCGAGTTTACAACATTTTTGTAAATTTTCGACGGTATTTTTCACAGTGTTGACGGAACTTTTTTCTTGGTATTGTTTCCTATCACGGCCACCTCATGCCTAGAGTGGCCGTCAGAAGAGCGGACACATGGGGAATAGGGGTAAGCGCTTGCGCTGGCGCGCGCGAGAGAGGTAGAGGGAGAGATAGAGAGAGAGAAGGCACTGCCATCAGATTGCAGCCAGTACAGCAGTCCAAACCGAAAACAGGAATACCGCCACGCAATCTCCACATGCTGCGAAAGTAAAAACCAGGCTGCGCGACTCCGACGATGTATTCACCGAGGGAGTTTTCATTTGCGTAATATATGATACACCTATAGTTTATAAACTAGGTTATTAACGCGTAGTGTAGTACCGCGAAATATGCTCTGACCTATGCCGTTTTTTTGTTGTGATTACTTTCTGGCTGCACCATCACCATCATCACCATCCATGCACCAAGGAGGCCATGTACTTAAGAGAGCATCAAGTCGCCATCGCCAGTAGTGAGCAGCGACGCAGCTTGAGGTTCTGCCCAGAGGCACGTCTCTTTAGATCAACTCCTGCGTTCCCCAGAGGATGCAGTCCGCGATGCTGGCCGCCGTGCTGATGCTGCCGATCGCCTTGGCCGCGATCTACCCCTGCCCGTCGCCGTCGCCCTCCTCCGAGGACTCCTCCGGGTGCGGCAGTGACGACCGCACGTACGCCAACGACAACCAGCTGCAGTGGGCAGTCCTGCCTGGTGAGTCCCTGTGGCCTGGAGTTCCAGTGTGAGGCTTTGCTCTACAACGAGTCGGGTTGCCCCCAGGACTCTCCGCCGCCCACCCCGGACCGTGCGCCCCGCCGGAGGTCACCGCTGGCCGCAGCCGCCGCTACACCCCCTCCGTCGACGACAGCCTCAGCATCATCGACGGGCTCAAGAAGGTGGAGTACCTAGAGTGGCAGGAATGTTACAACGAACGACAGGTGAGTCCGGGTGGCCTGAGGGGTGCCCATCTCCTTCCCGTCACGCTGGCTGGCTGACCTTCCCTATGTTGCAGTGCGCCCAACCGCATTCGGGGAACTGCACAGAGTGCGGCGCAGGCGCAGACGACTGGAAGTGCAGGAAGATGTGCGAATTGAAATGCGGCTGCGGCTGCATGGGGCTGCCGACAACGGCCGCGCTGGACGGGGAGACGTACAAGGAGTGGGAGAAGTGCTACCTGGACCTGGAGAGGGGCTGCACTCTGAGTAAAATGGAGAAGTGTGAGAAGGACTGTGCTGGCGATCGGTCCTGTAGGGACTCGTGC